CCCTGGTTGACTCTCCTTCTCACCCTTGCTACGAGCGGTGGAACCAAAGTCCTTCGGAGGTCGTGCCAAATGACCGCGACCTGACAGAAACCCAATTCAGCATGACCTCAGAGCGAAATTGATGAGTTTAGACTTACACAGTGGGGCCCAAGGGATAAGGCCTACTCCCGTAGCATCGCAAAAGCGGTTCATTTCCCTCTCCTCCTCACGATAGAGGAGGTTGTACTGGTTTTGCATGCTCACAAACTTGGTCCAACCATTCTTCTCCGCCACAAACTGCATTTGGGCGAATTGCGTTCCCCACATGCTGCTCGCACCGATGTATCGCACTTTACCTGTCTGGACGAGATCGTGCAGTGCCTTCATCGTCTCTTCAATGGGAGTGTTTTGGTCGAACCGGTGGATCTGGAGGAGGTCGATGTACGAGGTATCGAGCCGCTTCAAAGACGCCTCAACCTGGTTGAAGATGGCGCCTCGCGACAAGCCCCATTGGTTCTGGTAATCTTTCGACCTGTCCACTTCGTCGCGGTATACGAAATGGCGGGTCTCTGTAAGCTCAGCTGATTAGCGACTGGAAGTCAAGGTTTCACCTGCGAAAACCTACCGGGGTCCTCGCCGACGGCAAAGAAACACTTGGTCAAGATGACAACCTTTTCGCGCGGAATGCTGTACTTCTTCAGGGCCTTGCCAATGGTGACCTCGGACGCGCCATTGGAGTAGACATTGGCCGTGTCCCAGGTATTCAGTCCGCGATCGTATGCCGCCTTTAGAAGAGGAAGAGCCTGAGTAACCGTGCCATTAGCAAAACAGATGACCATCATCAATAGCAGCAGTCTAGGTCTACCTCATCTTCATTCAATGCCCAGCCCAGCGTGCGGGAGTCACCAAAGCTCATGCAGCCAAAGATAGGGACCGAAACGCGTAACCCGGACTTGCCGAGCTGACGGTACTCGACCTTTGTGTTTTCAAGTCCCTCCTTGAGGCGTGCGGGAAGCTCCTTGGATGCCATTGCTGCTGCTGTCTGCTGATGAGGTAATATGCAGTATGTCTTGTGGGATGTCACGGCGATTGGTTTTGATGAACATGAGAGGTTTTCTTTCAAGAACTTCACAGCGGATAGAGAGAGAAGAGAACCGCTGCAAAAAGATGGCGTTATAATCAGCCACCCTGAGAGCTTAAACGTCATGGACTCGATCGCGACATAGCAAGGAGGAGGGCAGCCAGCTACCCCGCACTGCGCTGAGCGGCGCCTGTCCCCCCCCAACGGCGGGTGCAGTTTTAACTGCTGGCGGTCAGTGTGTCGGTCAGAGCTGGCTATCGCAGTATTACCTAGTGTCTTGAATCGAGATGGCCTCAATGATATGTGATTGGTGGCATATATGATTTACTTATCACGAATCGGAATTAACGGATACAAGCCCCGCCATCATAATGCCACTTGTTTGCGGTGTCGAGCAGTGGTTCCGTCCTTACCTATTATGACGTATTAAAGTGGCTTTTCTCGGAGGTGATGCATGGCTAACCGCCCGCGCCGTGCATAGCCAACAGGGTCGACTGACTGGCTATTGAAAAGCCGGGAGGAAACAGCAGTGAAACGGTTTCTATTGGTTCATGACTTGATTCATGGCTTGGTTCATGGCCTACAGAAAATGGCTTAGGCAAGATAGTATTGACTAGAAGCGCGTCAGTAACCATTCATCTTCTTATTAATAAGACTGCTGCTGGGAGTAAAGCGAACATTTCTAGTAGATCCGCTATATGTTCTCGGTTTAGTAGTGGCAACCGGCCTATGTATACATCAATTGGCAGTTATTCGTTCTCTAGTCAGTTGTAGTAACCAACAGTTTGATGGGAAAGAGTAGGTAGTCTGCAGCCACCTCTGATCCTTGGAGTGACGTATCATGTAGGTTTACAGATACTCCTATTGGTTATGTGAGCGTCCCACGATCTTATCAGGACATCGGGACCATAATGAGGTTGAAATTGCCTCTAAAGCTTTTTTATTTATGTTTTTAATTTATTTTTTTGCATGCATATGCTCTCTGGCTTTACTTATCAGCTGTGCAGAGCGTCTAAATGAACACGGAAAAGTGGATGGTTATTGGAATTCATTAGCCACAAGGCGTGACAAAAGCTGTGCTGTGAACCATCAGAGAATTTAACTGAGCCTCATCTTTATAACCACACTTCACGTAGAGGTTATAGATCTGTCGAAAAAGGTCGAACTACGATGAGCATGGCGGGAAACCCGAGTGAAAGCCTCACCTAGCTACCCAGCGATGCGAGAACTTGATCCTTTGAGCCAATGACCAATTGACGGCGACTGACTCAGGCAGTGCATGTGCATGTAAGGCTAGCTCTTAGTAGGGCCACCCTAGCTAGGAACGTCGCGGTCACTGGTGGGACTTGGTGGGCGCCATAACGGGTCAGAGGTTGGTGGGAATACCAAGTCATTGGGCGAACGGACCAACTGTACGAGTTTTTCACGGTGGGAACAACCGTGGAGGTCGCGGGCGTACTTCTTGTCATGCAGACAGAACCCTAACCTTCGGATACGGCACACAACTCGCCGGCGTGACCAGAGTGGCCTTGCCTAGTAGGTATCCGGTGGTCCGACCTCGATAACTTCACTTTATTGCAATTAGAGGGGATCGCAATACAAGCCGTTGAACTATTCAATGGATAGATTTGGATGAGCAGACATTTTCATACCCGAAACCTGCGAGACGATTACGGCCTAAAATGACGCACCAGAATAGCGGACACACGGTCTTGCTTACCGAACAGGAAGCGCAACGCATTCGGACTACCGTTCAAGAAACGCAAAAACAATGCTTGGAGCGCAAGGGAAACGCAAGGGAGTTCAGAGATGCCCATGCCACAGTCAGCCAGGCCACTGGCACCTCTCTCATGATGGACATGGGCAGCATGACTGGGCAAGGTCAAAGAGACACACTCCCAGCTCTCGGTGTTGGGCAGACCTATCCGCCAAGCACAGCATCCCTTGAGGCCCTGAAGCCCATGAAGCTCACTGAGCTCCAGATGGACACTCACCACCGCGGCCGTTCGCTCATTGTGAAGCGTGCCAACCGTTGTCCGGTAGTGACCCTTGCAGCCCGGTCATGGACGGTAGTGCAAGATGACGAAGAAAAGGAGACTGAGCGGATAGAGATTTGCCTCCATAAGACGACCGACGGTGAAGATACTTTGGAATCGGCACGTCGATATATCGTCAAGGAGCCTTACTTCACATTGACAGAGGATGGTGAAGCCACAATTCGAGTTGACCATCCTTCAGACCTGGTCGTGTGCCAGGAAGAGATTGTGAAGGGCAGCTCCGCTCGAGTCGAAGAGGCGGCCAAAACAGAAGAGTTGGCGAAAAAGTGCAAAGACAAGGGCAACGCTGCGCTCCAAAAGAAGGATCTACCCCTCACTCGCGAAAGTTACACCCAAGGTCTCCGCCTCGCCAGACAAGAAGCCGTCCAGAAGACAAATCCTGATTTGGCCCGGGATATTTCTCGTAACCGGGCTCATGTCCACTTGCTCATGGACCGGCAAGATGAAGCCATCGCCGACGCCAAAGCGTCTTTGATCGGCGCAGATGACCAACGATCCAAGGAGCTCGATAGCAAAGCCTACTTCCGCGCCGGCAGCGGTGCGTACAATCTGGGACAATATCAGCAGGCCAAGGAGTATTTTGAAAAGGCCAAGGAGCTTGCCCCCGAGGAAAAAGGCGCAGCAATGTACCTGCGAAAGATCGAGATGCGCCTGCGTGAGCAAGCGAAAGGCGACTACGACTTGAAGAAACTCAGGGCCAACCTCTCCCGAGCTTCTCCGAGGGCTGATGCCGCTAGCTTCACCGGCAAGACTGAAGTCAAGAGCAGCACGGGACGGGGCCGTGGCTTGTTTGCGAACTGCGACATCGCCGCTGGGGAAATCGTCATGGTTGAGAAGGCCTTCTGCGTGGTCTGGGGCCACGAGAGCGACGTCTTGACGGCGATGACATACGACGTGCGTGATGACAGGATCAGAGTAGCGCCCGTGGGCTTGACCAAGGCTATTGCACAGAAGCTGCTGAGAAACCCGTCCCAGATCGATAGAGTAATGGATCTCTACGGCGACTACCAAGGCGAAGGCAAAGCGCTGACCAAGACCGCGGAGGGCCCCGTCGTGGACGTGTTCCGGGTCCATGATATCGTCTCGCGCAACGCCTTTGGCCCCGGTGGCCAGTACGGCGAGGAGGGCGCAAGGAATGCGAGCACGGGTCTCTGGGTCCGGGCCGCCTACATCAACCACTCCTGCGTCGCCAACGCAAAGAAGGAGTATCTCGGTGACTTGATGGTGTTGCGCGCCCTGCGCCCCATCAAGCAAGGCGAGGAGATTTTCCACAGCTACGACGAGTCTGCCGACTACGAGGCAAGGCAAAGGGCTTTGATGACGACCTGGGGCTTCGAATGCGTTTGCACGCTCTGCGCCGCCGAGAAGACGGATGACGAGAAGTCGCGCAAGAAGCGCAGCAGTTTGGCGAACGATGCGGACGACTTCGTCAACACAACCCATTGGGTAAACGCCAAGCGGATTGCCATTTCCAAAGCCCAGCGCCTCGCGCGAGAGATCGACGCTACGTACGATGAGAAGAAGTACCAAAATCTGCCGCACTTGGCTTCGGAAAGAATCCGCGAATGGCTTGCGAAAGCAAGCCCTCTCAAGTCATGACACACGAAACGTGTATGGAGATTCGCACAATAATAGACCCATTTCCAGCGCTACCCAATACAGTAAAAGGTTCAAAACATCCTCGCTGGCTCGTCGATTTAAAATTGTGCCGTAATAAACTCCAGACAACTCGCTCATTCGCGCTGGACGCCTTACTTCTTTTCTCCCAGACGTAGTCAGGAAGGGGAGTCTATCTATTGCGGTCTTGTTCAACAGTTACTACTTTCCACGACATTACCCAAACATTAGCCCTCTGTCCCGTAGCCCTCCCTCGCGATACGAGTTCACCATTGCTTGAGCTGGCACCTGCCAGTGACAGGATTAGGATACCCTGCCGACTTGGGCTCGCATTTCACAGTTTTCCCGCCTGTACAGGTGGCACCGAGGAAATTGCCCCATTGAGCAAAAGTAGCCGAGTAGTCGTCCCCCATCGCATTCCACGCTCGCCATATGTGAAAGCCACCGCTGAATGTTGTTAAGCCCTCTGCACAGCTTTCTCGGCCTTCATCGGTCGGTGAGTTGGTCTCCCAGCTTGCGCAGTCGGGCCCCATTATGCCCACGAGCCCAAGGCTTGCCACGTTGTACGCTTCGTCGGCATTTGGAGCGCAGACGGACAGTCGGCAGTATACTTGGTTACAGCCTGATGCAAGCGCCGTCTGGCATTGGAGCAACACTAGGAGTGCCAGCCTGAACCCACAGTGAGCTTCAATCTCAGAGAAAAAGTGGTCGGGAAGTTTACTAACATCCTATAGGCTACTATGCCCGAGGCCATGCCGTATCGTAGTCGACGTAAAGCGGAATATGGGCCCCTTGGAATAGTTGGTTTTCGAGCCCTGAGTTCCGTCATGTTCCCGGCGGCGACTAGGGAGGGGAGGGTTGGTGTGAAAAACAAAATAGAAAACTTGCAAATTCATGCAGTCACGTAGAACTGTGCCTTAAAAAATCTATAGGTTAGCTGTAGGGCTGGCTATTTTTGTCCATGCTGCAGAATTGTCTTGCTTGACCTGCCGCCACGTGGTGATGATCTCAAGCAACACTGGGGCATGCGCGGCTGTGTTGGAGGTTGGACCTCTCGGGAGTGTTTCAGGAAGTATTTTAACTCCTAACGCTTCCCGGCATCCCAATTTCTATCATGTCCAATATGTATAGACGGAAGCCAAATGCCGGCTTGAAATCACTCGATGTTGGCCACTGGCAGAAACACGTGCATGAAAATTCTGTTCCCTTCACTGTGATTAATAGTAACATCGTCTCGTCTTATGTGATGCATAGTTCTCAATCTGGCCTGTGCTTCCCAGCAGCGCCAATGTCATTACACACGCGGCACACGTGGTGCTTGACTTTCATTGAAATTAACCAACCCCTGGCAATGACTTTCCATGGACGGGGTAAGTGGGTAGGTTAATATCCGTATGTGTAAAGTTATGGATCTCATACGAGGTAGTAAGTTATCGATCGTCCTTCTCATGGCAAAAGCGAGTCAAACCTCTCGATGGGAATCAGATACCTCAAACTTTATTCCATTTGGTATCCTAATATCAGAGTCCATCAACAACTATTAACCTTGGACAACTTCGACGACAGTTTCGCTCTTTCGAGAACGATGCGTGTCTTGTTATCGCTGTCACTCATCACCAGCGTCTGCGCCTCCCCAATCACACATTGGGTTCGCCGAGATACAGATTGGGACGATGTAGTTTGTTCCGATCCCACCATCACCGATGCAAAAGTTGCGGCCAATCTGAGATGGGCAGCGGCCGACACGAATACCTCATGGAAAGAGGCTTTAGACGCATGGAGGGACTATAAGCCTGAAGACGGTGCTGTCAAACTCAAATTCCCAGCTTTCATAAGCGACTTTTACGGCGGACCAGAGGGATGGGATTGCCAAGATCCTGTGAACACCCCATGTTCCACATCAGTCAAATGCGAAGACACCAAGCATCCAGCCGGGTAGGTTACGGGCATACATACTTCTTGGGATCATGTCTAACTGCGTCAGCTTTCTCCTTCTCAATTCTTTTTCCAAGTTACACGATGTGCGTAATCGGCCAAAGCACACCAACGCCACTTCAGCTGACGAATGAGTACGTAGGTCTACAAAAAATACCACGAAGCACTACAAGATGCCCAAATCAGTCTCCTATCAGCAATGGGAGACTTCACCAAGGTCTTTGCCCCTCAACTGGAAACGAAGGACCAGACAGCTTTGGTGAAGACTATGTTGGATGTATTACAGTTTGGCATAGGAGTTGCATCGGCCGGTTTGTGGAACATCGGTGAGTCTGGATGGTAGACAGCAATGGAACAAACATACTGATTTGGGAAAGTTATCAAAAACGCCGGGATATTCGCCACTTCCGCATATCTCAGTTTCTCCAAGGATAGCTTCAACAGTGCAGTCTCGTCGTCTCTCGCTCTAAGCAAAGACAACCTAAAAGCGTGAGTAATAGCATCACACTGGCAAGCCGATGACCGTGCTCAAAACCAAGACACTGATCATGGGAATCACAGTGCCAAGGACGCTGTCAGTGTGCAGAATGACCTCACTTCTGCTATGGGTACCTTATTCGACTATTGGAAGAAAACGCAATCTGACTATCTGTCGGAGATATTCTCTGGGTCAAACCAGACAACTATAACCATGCTGGACTCTCTGATACGAGATGGCATGATGAACATGTTGCCTGTCGATATCAATTTATCGGACATGACGAAACTTATCCAGACTATCATATATGGGCAGATGATTCCCACAGCATGGGTAAATGCGCCAGCTGGATTTGCGCCATTCGTGCTGTAAGTAGAGGTTAAACAGACTCTTCTTTTGCTCCGAATCGTGAAATTTTGTTTATCGAATTCAGCTGACGTCGTTCGGTCTATAGTAAAACAGGCGATGCATGCTCAGACACCATGCCCAAGACCTTACACCCATACATGACGCAAGACACACACGAGAAAGCGGGCGTCTGCTGGCTTGGAAACCAGTTCTACGTGCTGACCGTCGGAGTGGATAGTGTTAATGTCCAAGACAATACTCCTGGACTTCCTGACTCAGAACCGCCCTTTCAGGTACTCTCAGGCGGCACGCGCGACGTGCTTGATGGCACGCATTGGGGTGGTATCACCCTCGAAGATATAGTCATCAGCTCATTCACCGGCTATCAGCTGAACGGCAACCGAAATGGCTACAATATAACCCTGGACGACAGTCAAGGGGCTGTTAACCAGCTAATGTTCGCGAAAGGCGTGCAAACGCCTGGCTTCTTTTCGCTCCCAGTTTGCACGAATCTTTGGAATACATTGATACAAATATCCGGAGGCCCAAGCAACAGGGAACACTATCCCTGCGGTGTTGAGGTCGAGAGACCCATCTTGACAAGTTGGTAATGTGGGAGCTGGCCCAAGGTCATCAAGTGGTAACACAAATCAGTGCTGGATTCTGATATTGTTTCACGAGACAAATGATGAGACTCACAGTAGTCCATCAAAATTGATTTTTATATAGTTATATATACCCCCGGATCAGCATGTAGTCATGCTTGTACAATATAATTAATGAAAATGTTGGAATAGCATTTAGCATGATTCGCACTCATGAGTCAGCAGCCAGAAGGTCTATATAACTGGCTATAGTTCTTGCCAGCTAGACATCTAGCTAGATCTTAGAGAATTCATGCCTTCAGAGAACAGTCTTGTTGATGCATCAACCTCATCTATAGTCCTTCCAACATTGATCAATGCCTAAGGGCATAGATAAACAAGGAAGAAGAGATGTCTATACGTACGACGTACGTATCATAGATGTGCTAAGAATAAGTGGATTTGAAGGCATTGCAGCTGCAGCGTTGCTGTTGGTGGGCGCCTTCTAGCTGCTTCTAGAAAAGGGTCATTTTATTCTCACGACGTTGTCGGCCTTTGAATTGTTTCTTCTATTTTCTAGGCGTCAATCACTCATCATTTTTTTTTAGCTACGTATGACCTAGACCAACACATAGACCTACAACGTTGTCGCCTGCCTATCCTCTAGTTAATCGCGAAGCCACTGTCGCTATTAGCTATTATAAGACTCCTCTTTGACCTCAATTGACTGCTGGATCAGCAGCTCTGAATCCCTTAACCAATCACGTGCAAGACCCATAGAGGGATCCAATACCTTAAAGAAATGCTCCTAGGACACCTTGAGTATCTTCAATTTAATAATGACGACATCTATGAGGATTGGTTGCTATGGTTCCGAGGGATGAGAAAAGGAAATTAATTCGCACGAATTGATTCTAAAGTCATCCGGCAAATCCGACAATTCCTCTATACGTATACACAGGGGATCATTAAGAAGGAAGACTATACACCAACAGTTGACCTCTTTCAACGTCTGGCAAAGAGGGGGATAACAGAGTATAAGGGAAACTAGTCAGGAGGAGAAAAGGATGTATTTAGGCTCTGACTGACTCAGTTGTGCGAAAGTAAAAAGGGTGAGTGTTGGAATAACATTTTGTTGTGATATAAGCCGTAATTGCGCAGTGGCAATTACGGATCCGCTTTTGTCGTCACACATTTCAGCATGCTTCGCACGCATGAGTCAGCAGCTAGAAGAACTGGCTATAGTTCTTGCCAGCTTGACATCTAGATCTTAGAGAATTCATGCCTCCAGAGAACAGTCTTGTTGATCCATCAACCTCATCTATAGTCCTTCCAACAGAGAACGTTTATGTAAATGCCGAGATGTCCGTCGAGACATCATCAGACATCATCAACCACGAAGAGAAATAGCTGCACCTCCACTATAAAAGCCTGCCATCTTCATTCTTGGGAACAAGCGCCTTAGCCACGGGCGTACGCCATCAAAGCAGGCTCAGCGACTAGCTTGGGAAGATATCCCAGTAGGCGAATCCCGGCAGTGACGATTGTTCCAGAAGTAGCGATACCGTCATCAAGAGAAAGGCCGGGTGCAATGACGTCTTTACAAACATCGTCCAGGTTGATGTTGCTGACCTGTGCTGGGCCCCGTCCTCTCTGAAGAGCGTCTTTGATCAACGCTGCCGTCAAGGGGTTGAAGAGCATAGAGGCATGGCCGTAAACGCCGCCGGCGGGTCTACCCGCACAGACAGACTGGACCTCGATATTGGTGACGCCGACGCGACGGGCATCATTGAGATAGGCAGAGGCATCTACGCCTTCCTGGGGCTGAACAACCTCATCCAGGACGGCACTGTAGAGCGTGGTCGTTGGCACATAGGCATCCGACCCACCGCGACCGCGGAGAGTATTGACAAAGGCAGATGTATATTGCTGTTGGATGACGGAGGGGTCGCAGGGGGCGTTGGCGGCACCATTACCGCCAGCGAGGCATATAGCATTGGCAAGAATAGTGCCGTGGAAATCAGGTGAGATAGGGAAGAAGTTCGAGACCACGCCGCGAGTTGAGGGCCAGAACGTGAATGCCCACTGGGTGTCGACGCCGCCTTGGGACCAGGAGATGACGCTAGAGTTTTTGCTGCTGATGCCGTTGATGTAGTTGATAGCGTAGGCAACGTATTCTGAGTTGGTCTGGGCGTCTCCAAGAAGAGCACCGGGAATATTCAGCCAGACTGGGTCGGCGTAGGGAACGTTCGACAGAAGCTTCTGAAGATTCGGGCTGAAAGCCTCTCCGCCATAGACACCAGTTCCGGGAACGAAAATGACAGGCGGTTTCTGGCCGTAAGTAAAGGTCTGCGGAATGAAGATGGCCTGTCGCAACTGCGCCTCAGAGAGTGAGTAAGGGGCATCGGCAGCATCTTTTTGAGGCCAGATAGATTTGACCGGGTTCCGGATATTGTTGTTGTTGATAGAATCGATAGCATTGATGGGAACAACAAGCTTGTTGGCAAGGTCCAGACTTCCCAAGGCGCCGGTGCCGAGGAGCCCTTGAAAGTTGGAAAGGAGGCCACTTGGAACGATGCCCTGGCCAATTTGCTTTTGTATCTTGTCGAAGAAGTTTCCAGCTCCACCCGTGTTCCAAATAGACCCCAGCTTCGACTGAAGATCAGCCGGGTTGAGAACTCCGGCACCCGTCAAAGGTTTCGTCCCGATAATACCGGTCAGGCGTTGAGCGTAGTTGACGGGGAGGGTGAGTAGAGTTGTCAAGCCACCGACCGGGTCAAGAAGACCGGCGGGAGCGGCGTCTGCGGACTGCAGAAGGACCACGGCCACGGCGAAGCTTTGGAGTGAAAGACGCATTCTGCTCAGATGATGAAGGACAGGAATCGAGCAGTAAGACTAAGGAGACTTCGGAATTATAGTTAATGAAGAGAGTGAAACGGAACCAATGGTAAAGCTAATGACTTGGGGCCCCATGACAAGGATTTTAAAGTAGAACTTCGGCGCTTTTTATAATCTGAAATAACCCGTACTAGATACCGCGTTGTTTGTCGTCACTCACATATGCAATGGTTCTGCATCGTTATTTCGCCGAGTCTACCGGCAGGCCAGATGCTGTAGCGAATCCGTGTTCGCGAGCTTCTTACTGAATTGGGCCTGGTATTATGGACAAGTCAGCCGCAGACTGTCGATCATCAAACTAAACTGGTCAATTGCCGGTTACGAGAGCATCGTGTGCTATTGGAAAACCTTATTTTCTGGTATTGTTACTGCGCATTGGTCCTAGAGCCCAGTGGTAGTCTTGAGCACGGGAGCTACGAACTTCCCGTCCCAACCATCCCATAGCGCCGCGCCCGGACAATGTTCTCTTTGAAGCATACCGCAACACAATTAGAGTGTTCTTTATTCTTGATACCCGTGACAACCGGCGTTGGGCCGGTGAGTTATCTGGTTAGGTCAAAGCGCCACCGACAGTTGCCAAGAATTGTCGGCGCTTACACCTCGACATGTCGGAGTGAGGTACATCTCTGGAATACAGGTCTACTCGTCAAAAGAAAGGCATGTGCTAAAACCAACGCTTCTTCAAGCTGTTGATGCTTTGGACCGGTCAGCACGGGTGCGTACTTACTTAGAGGTTGCCGGAAAATCATTGTTAGTCACTATCTCGCTGTCACACAAGGAGAAACAGTACTCGGTTGACGAATTCAATTCGGCTTCTTGCCACTATACCCCCGAGAATGACACACCAAGAGGATATTGCGTGATATCTGCTCCTTTTCCAGTGTCCATACCTGAAACCCATTTACCTCTCCCACTCCTGGCCTACTATAAAACTCTTCGTAAAAAGCTTTGTTCTTCTTCGGCCAGACACGATCTCATTGACCTTAGATTTTGAGGCATAGTTGCCCCTTTTCCCCATGCTTTTCCTGTGCGATTGGTGAGGAATCTCATTTTGAGTAACATAATTAAGAGCTGGGTGCTTGGGGACTTCAGTTGCTTGTTATATTTGATATGGATACGTGTGTCTCAGAAACACAGTCTCGTTTCTCAAGGGTGAATGTCTAACTCGCAATAAAACTACAGGTTATAGCTAAATGGAAGTTGATGATGGATACGACACAGCAGCTTGACGACAGCAAGAGACATCCTCACTTTCGTTTGTGTCTCAGTCTACTTGGGCGTCTGAAGATCGTTGCGACTGCTTTTTCGAAGCTTATTTTGATCGATTTTGCTTTACTGATCTTCTTTGAACTGTTTTCCTTTCCTATTTACTAATGTGTATGACTGTCATTGTATACCTATGCGACCTCGAGAGGGAAGGCTTTGTATTAGCACCCCAGTCCAGACTTTCTAAGACGTATCGATATGGCAGCGGGTATTTTGCTAGCATCTAACTGTATCTAGCAACCACCAAGCCTTAACGACCAGAAATACCATGTTCTGTTCCACGAATCCTAAACCACGCTGACCGTAGCCCTGATCAGTACTGCATGGCATTTCCGGCTGCCTTCCTGATTAGGTTAGACACCAGTAAGATAGCAAAGGTGCACCGGCAAAATGCCCGCTTGCCTATCGATATAGATATTACAAGAGCACAACATTAGCAATTCGCTTCAGTGTTCGCAGTCGTCAGTACAACAAAGGCCATCTTGTTTGTTCCCCGCGCCGGCTCCTCAATTCGCGTTTGCTCTGCCCGGTATTATCAAACTTTTCTTCTGGCCAATCTGTGCTCCAACGATCACGCAACCTTCACTGTAGCTGAGCCTAGTCATGAAATCAGGCACTATAGCGAGCAGCGCAGTAGCTGTGTCCGCTGCCCTTGTGGTAGGGGAGCTTTACTCGCAGTCAACAACATGCGTAAGTTGCCATCTCTCCCCCTCTTGCCAAGGTAACCATCTGATGGACCATTCGGGTCTCGATGTTGTAGTACTGACTATCAGTACATAGTGCTTAAATCTGAGTGTCATATCAGGATTGGCTGGCAAGGTTCTCTTTCCCGACTCGGCCGAGTACACGGACCGCATGGGCTCATATTGGTCCGTCAGCGCTGCTCTGAACCCGTGGTGTATTGCGCAGCCGTCAACTGCCGAGGATGTGTCTACCATCATCAAAACACTCGCCACTTTCAACTGCACGTTTGGCGTGCGTGGTGGGGGCCATGGGTCATTTGCGGGGTCCAACAGCGTCGAGGAGGGTGTCACAATCGACTTTGGTAATATGAATAGCACCATCTACAACAACAATACCAAGCTTGCCTCCATCCAGCCCGGTGGCCACTGGCAGACCGTATACGACACTCTTGCACCTCACGGCGTCGTCGTAACCGGTGGCCGTGCCGGGACTGTCGGCACTGGTGGTTTCATCACCGGCGGCGGTAACTCGCTTCACTCGGCATCTCACGGTTTTGCATGCGACACAGTCGCAAATTTCGAGGTTGTCCTCGCTGATGGCTCCGTTGTCAACGCCAATGCCACCTCGAACCCTGATCTGTGGCAAGGCTTTAAAGGCAGTGGCGCTAACCTTGGCCTTGTCACTCGCTTCGACATGCATGTCATCGACTTCCCGGACCCCTCAAAGCCTGTTGTCTGGGGTGGCAAGCTCTATTACGATTTAGAGTCTGGACCTCAAGTCATCGATGCCTTTGTTGAATTCACCGAAAATGTCCAAAAGGACGAAAACAGCTCTTCGATCGTTTATTGGGGGTATGTCCCCGCCAATGGTGGCTTGCTTCTCAATGCTGCTATTCAAAACACTCTGGCCGAGGTCGCCCCTCCTGTCTTTGATGGATACTATACTGCTGGCAACATCATTCGGGACACTACCAAAGTCGCTCTCATGTCAGTCGCTGCCAGTGAGCTTGGTTCTAACTCGCCTGGCGGCTTACGCAACGTGTGGTTCACCCTCGCCTTCGCCAACGATGCCCGCATCATGAACTATGCCGCCCAGAAATACTCGGCGTTGAACGAGGACCTGGAGAAGGCCGTTGGCGCCTCTGGCTTCAACACTCTTTGCATGTTTCAGCCCATTACGAAGTCGATTGTCGACAAAGGCGTTGCCAATGGTGGCAATATTCTCGGCTTGGAACATTACGTTGACAAAGGTAACGGCATCATGTTTCTCATCACGCTTGCTATCAATGGAGTTGACAACGAGACAATCGCCTTCTCTTACGTACAAGCCTTTGTGGAAGACGTTGAATCGCATGCTGCATCTCTGGACTTGGGCTGGGATTGGAAATTCCTTAATTATGCACACAAGTTGCAAGATGTCATTTCGTCCTACGGTGACCCTTCTATTGAAAAGCTAAGGGCTGCATCTGCTAAGTATGATCCGACAGGTGTTTTTCAGAACCTTCGTTCATCTGGCTTCTTTATTCCTCCTATGTAGATGGACATAATCAGTATTGTTGTTAATAGACACTGATACGTAGAGTGTAAGGCGTATCGCATCCAGAAAAAAATATGAGGCCTTCCCGTTGGGTTCTTTGTTCTTTGTTCGTATGTCGCGCATCTCTCCCTCGTGGTCTCGCTGAAGAACGATATCAACTGACTTGAATCGTTTTTGTGTATATCAACATAGTATCAGATGTAAAGTCAGAATATCAGCGTGTCTGGTATTTGCTCATTTTGTGGTCATTTATCATGCGCAAAAGGTTCAGTACAGCCTAAGAGCTTGTTCAGTCTAATTACAGTCTGCGCACCTAGTGCCATTAATACTAATTACTTTCCAACGACTGGAATCCTGCGCAGCTTACTGCTTGTAGCAAGGGAGGAGGATGGTATCGTGGATGGGTAAAAACAGATAGAAATCAAAGATGACATACTTTGAGAAATTAGCACGCTCCTGCTAGACATGCACATGAAAAACACCAAGACCAGTCGCAGCCGGTACAACACCAACCGACGGCGCAAACCCCTTCAACACTGCTAGCTGCAAGACCAGGGTTGCCATCCTGCGTCCCAATCGATGCCATGTGCTCTCCTGCCTTATAAGTACCGTACACAATCCCAGCTCCGGCGCCGGCGCCACCTAGTAGCCACCCGCTATTTTGCAACGTGTGCTGGAAGGCTTTGATAGCCTTCTCGGGGGTGATCTCGTGCAGCCTGTGGGACGGCATCTCGAGGCTCTCGGCGAACCAGTCGTAGTCCAAGGCACACCCGCCGGGCTTTTTGATGATGCAAGCAAAGTTCTTGAGGAGGTTTCGGCAGTCGTCGAACCCAAGCGCGTCCACTGAGAGTGCTTTGCGTGCGGCTTCCCATTCGGCGTTGACCTCCTCCTTGGTGAGAGTCGTCCAGCCAATCTGGCAGACGGTATAGTCTTGTGTGTGCCCCTTGTCCCGTGACTTGGTGAGCTCCAGCGTTCGCAGCCGGTTTCTCTCTTCTTTCAGTGACCATGGCACCACCTTGGCCTCGTACTCGCGCGGGGGTTCGAAGGTGCTGCCCGGTACTTTCTCTCGCGACGGAATGCCATCGGGTAGCCGAAGTATGTATCTGTTGCCGTGCGTGATGATAGCCCAGTGCAGTTGGCATCCGTCTTCGACGCGTCGAGAATACCACACCTGCTCGCCGGTCGCTGAGTCTTGTCCCTGCTTTTTCCGAAGCTGTACTCCCTCTTCTGTTTTCCTTCTCTGCTCCTCTTCTTGTCGTCTGGCTTTGACAGCCTCTTTATTGGCGAACATTGTGATGCCGTCGATCTTGTTCTTATCGCCGGAAGAGTAGATATAATGCAAAGGAGTAATATTCGGCGATGCGGGTTATTCTAGGGTTTCAACTGATGTGTTTTCGCTGGTTCCTCAGCACTATGATCTTTCTCATGGAGTTTTCAGCATGTATTGAATAATACTGGAATGCCAGACCTCCCCTGACGTCACATAACCTCAGCTTACGTCCAGTCAACTTTGCAGCGCCTAGCAGGTGGCTGCTTGGCCTTCATCTCTCATATCACGAAGCTGACTGAGGTTCTTCTGGTAAGAGACTACGTCTATTTACAACTCGTAGGGGCTAGTGTTTGCTATGTTGCTACCGAACCACTAGCGCTTATTACATCATTGCTAATTTGTCTAATGATTTATCTCGGAAGATCCCCTTCCGCATTCAGGTTGCTATTCTCCCGGGCGGTTTTTGTGGGACATGATTGTGGCATTCTGGCCAATGATTGAAGGCATCGTGGTGCTGCGCCAGACAAGCATGCTTGGTACCGTTTTCCAATCAGTCGATGGCTAGACTTTGAGGTGGTCAATCAGACAAGGGTCCCGGATCATTCACAAAATCGGAATCGAGTGCTTATGTTACCGGGTTCAGTACAGCGAAGTTGAAGCCTCAGGACGCTTGGTTATGCTTCTCCATTGTGCCAAGGAACACATGAACAGCCGCAAGGTCCCTACTGCAAAGGGCTGAACTATATAGGTAGTTGAGTTAAAGTGTCTGTGGTATGTGTAGTCAATGCAGTATGCTTGAAGGTTCCCGCTAGCGTGGAAGTATCGTGACCACTAACAAGTTGGTGACCACGTTGAATCTCCGAAAAAGAAAAGAAAATTCAGCTGCACGCGTCGTCACTAGGCTTTCTTTTTTAGTTTTTTTAGTTTTTCTTCTAAGACGACGTCGGTCGGCACTGGATGCACCGGCATAGACACCAAAGCGAGCCGACTTGAGACCGTTCCCCTATTCCGATGCGGAGCTCGGCCGGGAGACCCCCGGGGGCACTTCGGACCGGGATTGCTGTTGTAAGGGGAGCGTGGCTTTCCTCCCGGTACGGCTACTTCGTCATCTCTATGGGGCACTTTGGCATTGCGTCGCGTGTCAAAGGATGGCAGATCATGTTCTGTCGTCCATTGCCTCCCCGTACTCCGCTGAGCAGTCCCTGTTATGGATCCATCCGAGTAGATCATGTAGATTGTTCTGCTTATCCCGATCGCGGGTCCCCGAGACAGAAGACACGGTAGCGTACTGATTCGTCTCGGGTCAGTGGAATCCCACCTCAATGAATGCCAGCGAAGTTCCAGTTGTATCGAGTTGCTATGGAGTCATCCATGCCTTCCCCCCTCCGCCTCTTCTTTCTTTCAACTCTCGCGCCATCTCAAGACATCACCTGAACACCCAAGGGCCTGCCGACATGAGCAGCTGGAAGCTCGAACTTTCCAGTCGGGGTGCCAACTCCCCAGTCATGAAACCACTCTCGGGCTCGGCAAAGAGGTACAAGCTCAGTCTAACAACACTGACGTGTCCCGAATCGCTCCCGCGATTCTCTCAAGCCTTAGGATTGCAAAAGCCCCCCAAGAGAACGAGCCCACGCCCCAAATCTACCAAAAAAAGAAACTCGCCAATCAGCAGTGTGTACCGAGCCCGGGATGGGTGCTATATTGATCCTCTGCTATGTGTCTTATTGACAAATATCCGTGACGAGACGTCGCAGCAAACTCTGTTTTCCTCAAATCCCCTGTATCCATGACTTCCTTCAGGTACACACGACCATGAGCGACGACATCCCACCTCATTTGGACGCCTCCCTCCAGACGCGATGGTGGCATGTCAACTACGCAGCCAGGCACTCTGGTCTACAGCGCGCCGCCACCGGAATGGCACAAGTCCACCTATACATACTCCGCCGCCGGATCATGAAATCCATACCCACGGGCATGCCAAGCCAGAGGCGCAGCTTCTTTGCGCCAGCGGAGAAAGCGAGCCACGCAGCTCTCTGCATCCTTCTGTGACTTGGACGCTATGAACCGCGCGATTCGTGAGGGGGCTGAGGCACTGCACACGTGGGCGCCCTGCCCATCTCGCCCGCCGCTGTCACCCACGTGTGCGAAGGCAACCCCCCGAGCTGATGCTCCGCTGATCATTGCCCCCTACCCGTGAGAGCCGACGACTCAGGGTCGCTGACCGGGAGTGGCGATAAAGACGCAGCACGTCTCCGTTGCCAGATCGAGAAGGTCAATCGCCCAAGGGCCCGGCGTGGGTGCTCGCCGGGCCAAGCTCCGCGCCGCCCCACTGCTTCTTCTTCTCCTTGCGGAGCCAGAGTATGACGCCCACAGCGACCAGCAGCGTGCCGCCCATGCTCACGCCGACGCCCATGCCAACGATCGCCAAGCTCCCAACCCCCCCCTGTCCTCCGCCGCCGCCGCCGCCGCCGCCGCCGCTCCCATTGTCGTTGCTGCTGTTGCTGCCGTCTGACCCCGTGGGCGACGAGCTCGCGTTCGCCTGGCCCGGCGTGGCGGGGATCTTGCTCGTCACGCCCGGCATCGGCATCGACGTCTGCGTCGGCGAGGCCTGGGCGGCGCTCGGTTCGTACGTCTGCACGGCGGCGGCGTTGCCCGGCGTCGCGGGGATGAGGGGCCCGAAGACGGCCGTCGGCGTGCTGCAGCATCGCGTCTTCTCGGCCGCCGATTCACAGCAGAACTTTCCCGGCACGCCGTACCCCTGGCTGTCGCACTGCCACACCTGCACGCCGTTGAACCGGAAGTCGTAGGCCGTCCTGTTCGTTCGCGTGTCGGGGTCTGGGAAGGGGGGGAGGGGGGCGGTTGTCAGTCACATTCGCTTTTCATGATTTGCCCTTTTTTGTCTTCCTTCCCCCCCGTTTCTTATCTTTTGCCTGTCCTAGCCTCCTTGGCTTTTCGTTCTTCGTCGTCCTCCGTGTGCTAGCAAGGGATATAGACTTACTCAATACGCAGTTCTGTGGACAAACCGGGCTCTGCCACGTCGGGTCGGAGCACGTGCCCCGCGCGTACGCGACGCCCGTGTTGTTGGTCGTCTCCTCGAGCTTACACAGCCCGTTGCTCAAGCACGCGTTGACGCTGCCGCAGCACATGCTGACTTCAGCCGTGGGATCGCACGGCACATCCCGGGCCTGCACGCCGCCGGGGAAGAAGCACAGCTGTGCCTCGACCCGGGAACCAGCCGTGAACCTGCTGCCGCTGAGGAGAGCGAGCAGCACTGCCCGTGTCGTTGTTGTCTTCATAGCGATGCGTCTGCCGTCGGAATCAATATTCGGAGGACCGGAGGAGTGGATGTGAGATTGGAGGTGATGACAAGCCCAGAGTTCTCCTCCGAGCACTTGAAGAATCTGAATGTGTGGGAAGGGTTTGGTTGGTCATTTGAGTATGGTCGAGACCCAGGCAGGCTTTTTTCGGGATAGACAATCAGAGCAACAGTTGATCGACGTGTGCGGGAAGGTTCCGATGGTGTGAACAGGCGATGATTAAAGAACAAGCTCGAGGCTTAGTCCCCAAGCTGCTGTGAGTGGATGGAAGAGGGAGCAAATGGAGGGAAGAGAGAGCGGGTGGCGAAGGGGAGCAGGTGTGCCCGGCCTTCAGTGGTACAAGTTGATCATGAGGCGGCGATGTGATGCCGGACGAGCAATAGTAGAGGCCCAGGTTTGATGGGTAAGTAACGCTTTCCGGAGCTGCTACAACGCTTATATCCCCGCCCTCTGTATTCCAGGGAACTACGAACTGGTCCAATATAGCTGAGAGAGAACGGACGGCAATGATTTGTCAAACGAGGTGTGAGGCGTGACGGAGAGAGGCGGCCTGGCCAAGGAGTGAAACAGGGAACCTCAATCCTCCTCTGCTGGGGGATTAAGATTATCCTCGTAGCCAAAGTATGTGATGATAGAGAGGCAGGTGGGCGGTGATAGGATCAGCGCGATAAGAGTGAAACGGAGAGTCGGGGGGAGATCCCTCTTCTTCTTCCCTGCTTGAGGATCTTCATCGTGGATTCCGCTGATGGACGCAGTCAACACGTTGACATCTTGGAAAGAGAGAGATGAGTTGCAAGGAACGTCCGGAAACCTTTCCAAAGAGAAGAACGGCCATGTGGAAGAGCGGCGGCGCAGCCGTGCCTTATGAGAGAGGTCGCATATCCCAAAGCCACTCCCCTCCCCCCCTCCTCCTCCTCCTCCTCCTCCTCATCCAGGGACCTCGATCCTCTATACTGGCTCCCTTTCTGTCAGATCCATAATTCCCACGCTGTTTCTTCCTACAGCCTGGGGGTCCAGTGACCCCCAACGTTTGACACATTCATCCTGTCGTCTTTCAGGCCTTCTTCGACCTCTGGGGAAGTCCCTTGGCCGGAGGCGGGGGATTGCTCCCATGAACCAAGGCCTCTCACACCACTTCCCCTGCAGTGGTGCCCAGCGTCTCATCCCGAAAGCACGGTTGACTCGTCCCGTCCCAGAAAATACCCCCATGTCAACCTTCGCCCAGCAGGGCCAGCCACCATCGTCAATGCGCCTCGTGGGTGGCGGGCGATCTGCCACCTCAAGGGGTCCATGACTCGCCCGCAGTCGTCCACCCGGGGTATCTGCAGCATGGGGGAAGGGGGATAAAGCGAGTGAGAGAGAAGCAACATCTTTCTCTCTCGCCGCCGGGGCCTGGTTCTGGTTTCACATCGTCTGGTCGGTGTTTGCGACACCCTTCCTCTGCCCGTACGCGCGCTGTCTGGGGGAATCCAACGTTCCCTTTATTTTTCCGATATCTCTGCCCTCTTCTTCAGCCGCAGACAAGGGTCTGTCGTGGATACAGGCACGTTTGGAAGACGATTCACGCACGGATTCCAGAACAGACAATCATCTTGACCCTCGAGTTGCAACGCCACGGTGAACCCAACCGCTCCCTCCCCTTCCCCCTCGGAGTAGTCCTTAAGTGATGCCACCAACACCAACGTCACTACCGTGAACCCCGTCGAATCGATGACTTTGATGATTGTTAGCTCGGCCTTCGTTAACAGCCACAGAGTTCGCCTTACAGGGCCGTCGGGTCCACATCGTGCAAGGCCACCGCAGATTCTCGCGTATCGGCGGCTTTTGACATCATCCCCCTCGCTGGAGAAAGAGTTCCAAGGTTCACCAGTATAGGTTCAAGCCACACAAGATACACCCTCCCGTGTCATCCATGATGCCCAGCCAGGAACGTTCGAGCCCCCAGCCCTCTCTGCAACCTTGTGTGCTTTCCATCGCATCTGCATTGGCTTACTCGTGGGGTCTCGGAGAGAGTGAGAGAGAGAACTTACTCTATTATTGGTAGGCTCTGGGTATAATATAAAGGGAAATAGAAAAATGGTGTCTTGATTCCTTCCTTCCTTCCTTCCCTCCCTCCATCCCTCAAATGCTAGACTCGCCACCCGTCGGTTGCTGAAAGTCTGAATAACGGGCTGGAAGGAGAGAGACGAGCCAAGCGGCCGTCGCGTCGTGCATGTCTGTCGTCTAACTCATCTCAATAGCCCCTCGATGCCTTCTCTCTCATAATGAAGTCTTTGGTCTCTCATGTGCCAAATCATATCCTCCAGAACGCCGTCCATCATTGTCTTGTGTCGTCAACAGGATTTGCAGCAATTGCCGTCCATTCCCATCTTTCATCCCAACGGTGACTCCCGAGCGTCGAAGCGTGTCGCCGCCAGCCCCGTCAAGCATGTCCCCTGTCTAGAATCCCGTCTCACACAAACTCGCCTAGGCCGTCAGACGGTTCACGCCTCAATGTCATCCTCGTCGAGGGGTTCAACCCTGACCAAAATCTCCTCCAAGAGTCCTTCTAGGAAAGTGCCCACATCCCTTCCCATGCCAACGGGCTCCGCCTTGTCATAGTGATCAATCTCCTTGCACACATGGGCGAGCTTATATACAAGCTTGCGCAGTTTCTCGTGGGCCGCCTCCGCCCTCTGTTGCTTGGGAGTCACCTGGTTCATGGCGACAGTGCTAGACGAGCTCTGGTGGGGCCGGAAAACCTGTTGCAACCTGATTTGCCTCCTCTTCAGCGCCTCTTCGAGCGCAGGGAAGATGACATCGTTGAGCGCGTCGAGCTCTCCGTTCGGATTGGACGGCGCGGGCGCAGGGAACGCAGAAGGGGTCACCGGTTCCGGTGTGGGTATTTGCGTTTTGGAGGGCAGAGCATGAGTCTTGGCCAGAGGAGCCGGCACTTGCCCGGAGGGCTGGCGATATTGCTGCCCACCGGGCGGCTGGCTCGGTATCCTGGTCGGCGCTTGCTGCGGTTGCGGGTTTCCGCGGTATGGCGGAATCTCTGGGAGACTAATGGGCGTCACCTTGTTGCTGCTGTTGTTGTTGTTGTTGTTGTTGTTATGAGGCCGGGGCCCGTGAGGAGGCGGCCGCGGCGTCGTCTCCTGGGTCGGCGATTCCGCCGGCTGGATCACGGGGCCTAGACTCAGTAGGCCCATGTCCTTTTGCAGCTGAGCTTGCAGTTCGCGGTCGTAGTCCGGAGACTGACTGACGGGGACGGCAGGTGGAATCAGACGAGAAACGGGCCGCGGTGTCTCTGGGGCTCTCTGTATCTTTTCCGGCGACGTTGGAAGAGGTGCCTTGGCCGGCGGCTGGGTTACATTTGTCGCTACAGGCTTTCGTTGTGGCGATGCCTGGCGAGATGTCCCGGTGTTGGCGCTTGCTGCCTTGAGAGTATCCGAGGCTACGGCAAGTTCGCGGCTGAAATCGCGAATCTTGGTAGGGCTGTTGTCTCTTGACCGCTCGCCGTAATCATCCGCGTTCTCCAAGGACCTGGCGGCTCTAGCGTTGGTGGCTGATTCGTCCAGGGCGCCGAGTCCCGGTCGAGGAACAACACCAGCACGGTCCCCGACAAGCCTTACGGTGCCAAAGTCCCACATGTCCTCGTCAACCTGCTGGCGTTCATAGTACTCGTCGCCCCCTTGGTCGCTTTCGTCGTCGTCACCCTTGTGTGTCGCGGCCCACCGGGAGTGTCTTTCAATCAGCTCGGTAAGATAGCTCGTCTTCTTAGCGCGGCGTATAAAGGGGTGCTTCAGCAGATCCTTGGCTGTGGGCCGTTCCTTCGGGTCCCGTTGCAGGCACACCTCAACGAAATCCTTAAACGCCTTTGTAAAATTGCCCTCGAGGCGCGGTGGCGGGTTCTTGGGGATCAGAAAAAGCACCTTCATGGGGTGGATGTCAGCGTAGGGCGGCTCGCCGTTGGCAAGCTCCAGCGCGGTGATGCCGAGCGACCAGACGTCTGCTTTGTGATCGTAGCCCGACTGCTTGATGACCTCGGGCGCCATCCAGAAAGGAGTGCCGACAAAGGTGTTCTTCTTGGTCATGGTGGCAGAGAGCTGGCCGGAGACGCCAAAGTCGGCAAGCTTGACCTGGCCATTGGAGCTAAGCAGGACGTTCGCGGCTGGTAATAGTACGTCAGCATTTTCTCGACGAGACGAAGCGTCCTCGGCGCCCCGTTCTGGACTTACCCTTGACGTCGCGATGCAACTTCTTATCGGAGTGCAAGTAGTCGAGACCGAGAAGCAATTCGCGTATGATGATGGCAATGTAGTCTTCCCCAATCAGGCCCGGCTTCATCAGGTCTGCGCAGCTGCCTCCGGCGCAGAACTCCATTACAATCCATAGCTCGGCCCCCTTGGCGTAGGAGCCGTAGTATTTCGTGACATAGGGCGACTGCAGCTCGGACAGGATGGCGATCTCCTGGATGATGTCTTCGACCTCGTCTTCGGCGCTCTCTATGTCGATGATCTTGATGGCCACGGCATGGCCAGTGCGCCTATCAACTCTACATGGAGGGGGTGGTCAGCATTCTTTGATCAGACTAGCGTACGAGCTCCTCCCCCCAGCGTGGGATTGCTGATTGTTGCTTACCCTTTGTAGACCTTGCCAAAACTTCCTCCGCCTTGAGAAAACTGAGTGTCAGCGAACGTAGTAAGAGAGGTGTCCGGGGGGGCGGCGCATACCGATGCAGTACTCCTTCGTATAGAGCAGGCTTGGGTCAAGGGCCTCATTGCTCTCATCGGTACCTCTTTCGCGATCACCCATGTTTGCAGTATACAGAAGGCGCCGAGCTCAGCTTGGCGCTGTTTCGTAGGTTGAGCAATTGAAGAGGTAGTAGAATATGTCGTGGACAGAGTCGTTTGCGTGGTACGAGCGCAATGGCAGTATCGCGGGGGGACTCGTCAGCTATGTACGGTCGCTGTGGCGGTTCGTGGGTGCCTCCCGACGGTTCGTCTCTCGTGGCGCCGACAAGAGAGGCCGTCTGGGAAATTCGAGTGTAGTTTGGGGCAAGAAAGTCTCGCTTTCTCGTCTGGATTTGGACTTTGGACGAGGGTGGGGGGTGAGCAAGGAAGAGGTCGAAGAGGGGACCCCGGCGTTGGAGTTGAGCAAAGCGGCAGCAGGCAGTGGGGGGACAGCGGCGGGATGCGATTGTCGTCGTCGTTGTCGTCGTTATCGAGGTGGAATGGAGCGTGCCTACAAGAAGGGCCACAGACAGGATCCGTCCGTTATGATGTCGGTCGAGTACGCCGGAAGAAAAGGTAACCTGGAAAGAGAAAAGTTAGCCGGGCTGCTGCAGAGCGTCGGGCTGGGCCTAACGGTGATTAGGTCCCAAGGGAAGTGGGCGGCGGCAGTCGTACGTCGGTCGTGTCGTAGCTTTGCCTCTTGTCTCTGGGCCCCTTGTCTCTCGTTTTCTTCAAGGAGGCAGCAGAGGAATGGAATAGGTATCCCAATCCAAGTTCCAGGTTACAGCGCCGTCGGTGAGACACCGTAAAGCGGGCCAGTGGGATTCGCGTTCCTCGCAAATTGGGTGCACGTCTGGGTGTGCTTAGACAACGTCAATGCCCCAATTACACTAGGGAATCACCATGAAGCTAAACAAGCAGACGGAACTCCAAGGTAAGATGAGGTGGTCGCAGCCTAGGCCCAAGGGAAGGGATGGGGGGGCACCGAAAAAGAAACAAAGTGAGAATCGTGGGGTGCAATTGGCCAGCAGGGGAGTCTGTCCCGTCTCTGAGGTGTGTCCGTTGGTTGGGTTGTGTGCGCGACTTCAGCTAGCCTAGATCATCTGCGCAAGAGGTCGTGACGGAGACGGGAAGAAAGATGAGGGAGGGAAGCAGCTAGCTAAGTAAGTAAGGTACTTTGAGAAGAGAGAGACGGGCCGATGAATGAACATACACACGAGGCAGAGTGTGGGGTAATAGAGGCAGACCAGAACCAGACCAGACGAGACCAGACTAGACGAAATGGCACAAAGAAGGAGGCGCGCTTATTTTCTTGACCCGTTCCTGGAAAGCAAACTTATCGGGGCTGCTGCGACTTTTCCCCCGCAACTTCTGGTTCCAGACCGTTGTGAATGTTTTGTGTGCGCGTATGTATGTGTGTGTGCGTCCTCATTGGGCATTTCCCACCCAATGTTTACGGATACCAGATACAATGCGGACTCGGTACCTTGGGTGCGCAACCGAGGGGTCGGTTCACCAGCAACCGTTGTTGTTGCTGTTGATCTCGACTTTCCCCCACCCTAGGTGTTGATTTGCGCTCCTTGTCCAGTAAAACGTCAGCGACCCCCCGGCAGCCAAAACAACGGCTATCACAAGCGAGAGTGCACAGACCACCTCAAGGCTTATCCAATGCTTTGCACCTCCCAAAATTGTTCCCCCTCGTCCGCGGTGACACGGCCCCGTCCGGGAATCCGTCCGCAATGCTCGACTGAATGGCCACGCGACGCGCCACCGTCCCAACGGAGCTTAGTCTGCCCTTGCCGTGAAACGCCCATACCTTTCAGGTAAACGTCGTCGACGTTGTTATCCTCTGGACCCATGCCTCGCACATCCCCGGGAAGTGGAACAACGAGTCTGGGGATCGAGGCGCGCAACATGGACCGACTGTCCCCGGCCGGGGGCACTAACACCGACACCTGCATCAGCACCTGCACCAGTACATCTCTTGTTCACGTCTCACAAAACCATCATCACATACATCGATCGCCTTTCCCGTATTCGAGCTGTCTTGGCCTCCAGCGTCTATTGATGCCGTAATCGTCTACCCTTGGCTTGTCTTCCGAGGCACTCATCGGCCCCTTCTGCCCCTGTCTTAGCCGAACTGCATCCCTGCCCGCCCTCGATGGCCACCAGCCGATGCCGTCACATTGTCATGGTCATGGTATGCGTGAGTAATGAAAGAAGAAAACAAAGATCCCAAACGAACGAACCCTCGAAATCAATGGGGAAAGCCTCCTCCCCCCCGTGCTGTACCCCATCTGTTGGCCATGGCCGGCCCTCTCACTTCGGCCTTGGTGGGATGCATCTTTGCCCCCCTAAATCAAATGTCGTCTCTCTGCCGCCGCTCGCCCTCGCCACAAGACAAAGGAGCCCCTCAACTGAACCACTCATCGGGGTCTAGTCCTCGATGAACTCGATCATGACAGTTCCCTGCTTGAGCCCGGCCTCTAGGATGGTCTTTTCGAGCTCTTCAATCAAGTCCTGGCCCTGGGGCATGCGCTTTAGCTCAAACTCGATGCCGTCCTTGCCCTCCAGCGGCTCAGCCTTGAGCCACTCGTAAATGCGCCTGACCGGGTCGTCCAGGTTGAATCGCCGGATGACGCGTCCGGTAGGATGACGGAACTGTATCCGCGTCGTCGTGGCTGGGTTGTTCTCGGGCTCCGTGTGCGGCTTGTCGCTGGCAATCTTAGCCCAGATGCTCGGCGGCGCTGCCGCCTCCGCCGCAGCGCCTGCTGTCTCGCCCTTGGGAGACTCTGACTTGGTCAGCGCGTCAGGATCGACCACGCTTGGCGTGGGCTTGGAGCTGCTGCCGCCGTTGGACGCCGCGAGGCTGTTCTGCAACGCCATCTCGAGCATCTCCTCCTCCGTCATCCGGTCGACGTCGACCGTCTTGGGCCGCGGCGCCGCCTGGTCCACCACGGGGTTCTTGCTGTTGGCCGCCAAGCTGTAGCGGTCCAGGAACTCGGCCAGCTGGGCGTGGAACTCGGAGGCGCTGGGGAACGGCCGTCCGCTCCACACCTTGACCTGCTCTCCTGTCCTCGGGTCGATGATGGCAACGTGCGGGTAGTTATCGGGGTTCTCGTGTCCGCTGTGGTGGAAGTAAAAGTTGATGTATTGCTGCGCCGCCATGGCGCTTCTGTCGTACTGAAGAAAGATGAAGCTCTCCTCCAGCAGCTGGCGAACCGCCGCGTCCTTCCAAATGTCCCGATTCAGAGCCTGGCAGTTAAAGTCGCTCATGTCTTGGAGGTTGACCATTATCCACTTCTTCTCGTCTTTGCCCTCCTGCCTCGCTTCGTCCCAGTCCAGTCTGGACATGATGTCGTAGGGAGGTCGGAACAGTTCAGCGAGTCGCTGGGCACGGGCGCCGCCTTCGCTCGGAGCTGCCTGGGACGGTTGAGCAGGGGTCGGGCTGTCATCTTCCCAGATCGACAGGTTGTGGCTGAAAGGATTCCTAGAGCCGCCTGTAGCGTACAACGTCAGTAATGGGAGCCGTCGGCTCAACACCTCGCCAGGAACGTACCTCGGGCAGCAGCTCTGGCCGCCTCTCTCTGCCTCATCTGCGCCCGGATAATGGTGTCCATGTCCACGCCGTCATCGCCTTCGTAGCCTCCAACCAGCGTTTCTGTGGTTCTTGCAATGGGTGACCTGACGTCATCCTGACCACCGAGGACGCCGCCGCCACCAACACCGCCGGAGCCACCTCCGTATAGCTCCTCCTGTAGTCTCTTGGCCATGGCGGCGTCTTCCTCCTCCTGCGCGTTGCGGGCGATAGCCGCGACGTCAGAGTCGTCTTGTCCAAAGTTATCGTCCATGTCGTCGACCGTCATGGCAGTATCGCGGTCATCGTCGCTGTCGATGTGAATGACGCCACGGTCGTCTTGGCGTCCAACGTTGGGCCGGGTGCTAGCGGGCACTGGGGGCGCTGTTGACGAGGTGGCAGCAGGCACTGTGTTGAAGCTGTTCTGGATGTCGGGGCTCTCGAAGAAGAGCTGGATGGCCTGTTCGAGGTTGTTGTTTGCCATCTCCAGGAAGCCGCGTGCGGCCTCTGGACTGGCAGCCGTAATGGCGACGAAGTTAGAGATGTCCTCGTCCATGATGAGGGGCTGTGCTTGCCGAAAGCTGCAAGACGTTGGTGAGTAAAGTGTATCTGGCCTCGTGGGGAGTACTTCGTCGTACGAGGTAGAAGAGTGAAGCTCGAGGAGGTGTTTGAGTCTTTGGTTTCTTTTTTTGGTTTTTGGTTTTTTTCCCTTCTCCCGAGGTAGCGGTCAGAAAGATCCGTGGATGCAGGAAAGGCCCTGGCAGTCGATGGCACCTCTCTCTCCCTCTCTCTCTATCTCTCTCCTCTGCCCCACCTTGGCCCGCAAGTGCTAAAGTCCGGTGTGGGATGCAGGGTGCGAGCGAGGGGTAGTTATAGGTGCGTTTGTATTTTGTATGGTTTGTGCGATGACCTGTCCCTGAGTCGAGTTTACTGGGCACGTTGTCAGAAAAACAAATAAACGAAAAGAACAAAACGGGAGGGAAAAGTCCAAATAGAAAAAAAAAGGACGTTGGATAGCTTGAGGTAAGGCGTGTCGTTGAGGTGAATGAACAAGGTTGGTTGATTTTGCGCCACCGGTGATCTGAGATAGACACAGAATGGTGTGTTTGCGGGCTGGTCCCGGCGCGAAACAGGTGCCGGTGCAGGTGCAGGTGCAGGCGCAGGGCCGCTATCGAAGGCGCCAGCTCGGTGACGCAACCGGGCAAAGGTGGAATGATAATGCGATGCGGCGGTTGGCTGCGCCACGGTCACACGGGTGGGTTCTCGATCCGATTGTGGCTGGTGCAGCCCGCCTTGTCTCCCTACCTAGGTACCTAGGCAGGCAGGCAGGCACCTTACCTCCCTATACACCTCTCAGTTGTCAAGACCACATCCAGAGATGGGGCTTCTGACCTAGATATTCGACATCGATATACTTACGGTAGTTTCGGAATAACGTGTCGATTAGATTCGTGCTGACTCTCATAAGGTGACCTCTTGCTTCTTCCGCCATTCCCATCCCAATGAGTCTTTAGACTATTACTTGATAGCGAACATGATTGATAGCACTCAAAGATATATGGGCTAATCACGCCACACGATTAAGACCACGCGGCAGCAACATCATTCAACCATTGTCATTGTAAAGAGCAAGATTCTAAGGGGGTATCACAACCCCGTGAGCCAATTCGTCGGTATCGCCGCCGTCGTCTATACCAACGTCCTCCAAGGAAACACCCAGTCTTTCCCTCCCCTCCTCTCGCTCTCGTCGCCTATTTCTCCAGCTCCCCGAGTACCTCCTTGAGGTGCTTCTGAACCTCCAAAGAACGCTCCGCTGCGAGGGCCTTCTTCACCATGTCGACCAGTCCCTTCTTCTCCTCCTTCGTCGGTGCTGGGCCAAACACGCCCCGGTTCATCGCCTTGAAAACACCACCAATGGCAACAGCCCGCGTCGTGCGCTGGGCCTCGGTCCCGTTGTCGATGGATTCGGGGTCCAGGCTCTCGAGGTACGCCAGCGCCACCTCCTTGCCCCCGCCCGCCGCCGTCGACGGCTTCTGGGCAGCCTCCATCAGGTCCTTGACGCACTCGTACCAGACCTCGCGCTTGATGCCCTCGAACTTTGGGTGGGCCAGACGCGTCTTCAGAAGCTCAAAGACCTTCTTCAGGACGGCGCCGGCGTCCTCCTTTATCTGAACACGATTATAGCCTCTCGCGATGGCCTCGATGCCTTTGACGGCAGCCTTGCGCATGGCGTCTCCCGAGCTGTCGACGTCCATCCTATCCTCGTCAACAAAGTCGTCGAGCGGTCCACCGACAATGTTGGCAATGTCATCGAGCAGGTCCAGGTCCTCGCGCTGCTCGGCAAACTGCCAAAGCGCCTTGTAGGCGTGCGGTCGGTAGTCCTCGTTGTTGCGCTTCGCCTCGCGGAGGGCAATCTTCTTCTGCTGTGCGGCGACGGCCGCGTCCGTCTTCCACAGCGACGCGCCCTTGCCGACCAACTGGGGGAAAGACTCGAGAAGCCTCTCCTTGCCGGGGAAGGTCTTGAGCGCGAGCGCCTTGTCCATGACGGGCCAGATCTGCTTCAGGTTCGTCTCGGACATTTGGCCGCCCGTGGCATCGCTCGAGGCGGCCACGGCCTTGACCATGCTGGCGATGGTAAAGCAGGCCGTGTGCTGCAGGTTCCACCTCGGCGCCTCGAGGCCCCTCTTGACGAAACCCACGATCTCAGGCACGTAGCGCGCCACGGTGCGGGAGCTGCCGCCGTGCTGGTTCCACACTTCGTCGAAGCATTTGCGCGTGTACTCGTCCGTGTCGTGCATCCCCATGTACGTGAACGGAACGAACTTGGTCGCCAGCGCGTTGAAATGATCGGGAGCGAGCTTCGAGACACTGAGGACGACGTCCGACACCTTGGCCCGCCGGGCTTCGTCTTCGCTGGTGAAGTAGAACTCGGTGAACTTGTCGACCAGCCTCTCCTTGGACGCGTCGGGGACGACGCGCATAAGATATCCCACGGCCTTAGCGTAGCCCTTGCTGACCTCGTCGTTACGGTCCAGAGACTGCTTCTCCAGCAACTGCATGAACCGGGACGACACCGGCTTGAAGTCGACGGCGTGGCGCATGACCAGGTCGCCGATGAGCCTAGCGCAGGCGATCTTGGTCGGCATGCCGATGGCCGTCTTGATAATCTCCTCGAGCTTGGACGCGAGCTGCTTCATGCCGTCGGCGTCCAGTTGCCTGAGGCAGTTGTCGACGGCCTCCGAGATTGGTGACTGGTTGACCAATCGCGCCCTGAACTTATCAATCTGATCGCGCGAGTTTTCACTGACCTTCTGGTAGGCATAGTTGATCTGCTCCGGCTCGATGGTGCTGTGCAGGCCCAGCAGCGGCGGGATGAAGTCCACTATGAAGGGCTTCAGGTTAGGACCGCCCTTCTTGGTGATGTCGATGATGGTCTTGAGGGAGAACATCTTGACATCTTCGACGCCGCTCTCGAGACCGCTGGGGGACAGCAGGAAACGAAGGGCCTGCTTGAGCATTGCCTGGGCCGACGACGAGGCGCCGCCCTCTTCAAGCTGGCGGACAATGGTGTTGGTCAGGCCTATGCACAGCTTGAGCGCAGACTCCCTGACGGACCCCTTGACATCGTCCAGGACCTTGAGCGCGGCGGTCCATATCTGGGCGTAGTACTCCTGGTACTTGTCGAACGGCTGGCCCGAGATGAGGTCGGAGATGGCGCTGCAGCTGGCCTGGCGCACGCGCCACTCCTTGCCGAGGATATTCTTGAGCAGATCCTGCATGATGGCGTCAAAGTGCTCGCTGATGGTCTCGTTCGGGTTCTTGACCAGGGACTTCCAGATGTCGTCCATGGAGCGCTGCACGTTGCTGTTCGGGTCGAAGCGGTAACGGAACAGCTTGGGGTACAGCTTGGGGTCGACCTCTGACTCGGAGAGGATGTTGCTCAGGCCGAAACGACCAAATGCGGATCGAGTAGACCAGGTGGCGGCATTGGTCGCAAGAGACATGAACTTGTAAACCAGGCTCTGGTCGCCGACCTCGTTCGCCAGGCTAACGATGTCCTTGTACGAGGTGACGGACTTGCCCTCGCCCGTGGGCAGGGCTCCAGGCTCAAAGAGCTCGGTCTCTTCCTCGACTTTGATCTGGGTGCTGCTACCGGTGAAGGCGGAGACAAGATCCTTGACAAGGTCCTGTTTCAAATCATCATCTCCCTTCTCATAGACTAGGGAGAGGCCGCGGGAAGCAGTCTCCTGGACAAGCTCGTCCCTCGCACTTAACAGTCTCATGAAAGCGGCCTGGGCCTCGCGAAGTCGGGACTGGACCTCCTCGAGGTGACCACAGTACTGGACGACGCAGAAGAGCCAAATACCAGAAGCCTTGAGCAGCGAGGGCTTGGTGGTCTTGCAGTCCTTGAAGATCTTGTCGAGGACGGCGGTGACTCTCTTACTACGCTTGGTCTTCTTCCAGGGGCCCTCGACGCTGTCGATGTTCATGGACAGCTTGACAAAGTCCGAATCCCAGCAAGCAATCGCCGCGGTGATGGCCTCACCGACGGTGAAGTGGATCTCGGTCTCCTTTCTAGTATGGACGGCAAAGAGGCCACGCAGGATGTTGTCGATGCCTGACGTCTTGCTCGAGGGGTACAACAGGCCATCTGCGGGGGTGGGCTCCTCGTTGGGCTCGTTGAATGCAAGTGCCAGGCGGCCGAGCGCAAAGATTGCTTTGTCGCTTCCGGCCGCTGCCTTCTCCGTGAGTCTCTCGATCACATAGTCCGCCGTCAAGTTGTTAACGTTATCCGGGATATACTGCGAAAGGCCGGCGGTCCAAAGCTCTGCGTAGCAGTCTAGGATGGCATCCTCCAATGCTGGTCGCTGATGTGACTTGTCCATAAGCAGCTTCTGAGGCAGGTGAACGTCGCTGGGGATGGGCAGACCGTAGTACACGGCTCTGGAGAAGATGTGGCCAAACGCCTGCAAGGACCCTTCGACTGCGTTAGCGGTAGCACCGTACGAGTTCTCCCAGCCGTAGACCATGACCTTCAGGTCACGGAGGAACTTTTGAATGTTCTCGTTCCTTGTCTGATGCGGAACTGCGTCGGGAATTGCCAAGTCCACCTTGTTAAGGGGGTGAGGAAGCAGGATCCCAACCGCCTGGGCGGCGGCAGCGCGGATGTGTCTGTTGTTAGCCGTCGTGCACTTCTGCAAGAGATAGGCGGAACCGGCGACATAATTGATCGTGCCGGCGGGCGCAAGCGACGCGACGTCCACCATGTGCTTGAGACAGTTCTCGACAATGCGATCGGTGCCGTCCATGCCTTTCAGGCGAACTCCGTCGAAGCAGATCTTGATGAAGAGGCCGACGTGCTCCTGGTCGACGGAGCGGAGGTAGGCCCTGATCTGGTCCCGCGTCTTGATGTCGTTGTGCACTCGGGTGTCGAGCTGCTCGGCCCAGCCGGGGCCGAGGGGGAAGTCGGGCAGTGCCGCGATGAACAGCGCCCTCTTGACATACTGAACGGCGACGGGATATGCAAACACCTTCTCGCCCTCAAAGTTCTGCATCGTCCTTCTGTCGTCGAACTCAAGCTTCGGCGGTGTCGAGTTGGCCCAATCAGAACTGGTGATGTCGTCGGTGATCTTCTCGCAGAAGAAGTAGGTCATTAACTTGATCCAGTCCGGCATCGTGTGCGCTTCGCTATCGCGGTACGTCCACGGGTCCAGCCCCTTACGGCCCTCCTCGATGACCTCGGTGCGCTCGCCCTGGCGGCCGGCAATGGCTAGGATATCGATCCATCTGCCGCGCTCGTCCCATGACGCAACCGTCTGGTTTGCCCACTTGACGGCCGAGAACCTCGCGCTTCGTACGGCAGGGTTGTCCTCGGGCAGGTTCATGTAGTGCAGAAGGAGAGAGATCAGGCTGATCATGCCGCTGCCACGTCCCGCGCCACTGACCGTCTTGGGGTCGAAGCTCCTGGTCAGTCCCGAAAGCGAGCCTTCGATGGCGGACACGGCCTCGGCGCTGGGGTCTTCTGATAGAGACCTGAAAAGCCAGCCGACAAGGTGGAGCTTGTCCTGCACGCTGAAGGGACTGCCTGCGCCAAGGACGCCGAGAAGATCGTACGCCATCGCGCGAAGCTTTTCCTCGTCTGCCGATAATGTGCGCGGAGCAGGCCATCCCTGCTCCTCGACGTAAGTACGCATCTTGTCGATGAGCTTGGGTCCAATGGTAAAAGGAGCCTGGGTAGGCCCAATGGTCGCTGTCCAGTTGAGGAAGTAGAATAGTGCCTTATGCAGTCTCGTGCGCTCGAGGCCGCTGGTTGCTTGAAGGTGGGCCGGGGCGATGGACGTCGTCTCTGTGCCGAAGTCAAGAGTCACCACGGACAAAATGTTATCTTGCATGGTGGTGGCCAGCTTGGACTTTGAAAGGAGAGGCAGGATTCTGATGCGGTGAGGCGCGGGTAGTCGGGCGTGTGCATTATACAACTCCTCAATGATGCTCGCCTTTTCGAAATCAATAGTCATTCTCTTGAGAATGTCCTCTCCGGCTTGAGAGACCTGGTAGTCCGGGTTAGCCGCCGCAGAGAGAGCGGGCAGCAACCTCTCCTCGTCCTTGAAGGCGCCACTGGCCAATAACTGCGCAATCTTGCGCCGCAGGTCCTGCATCTTTTGGAATGCCGGCGCGGTGTCGCGCTGCTCGGGCTTCAGGAAGTCGAGATCCGCAGCCAGCAGGGCTGGGTTCAGTCTCTCGAAATCCTGGCGCGTGGGTTCCACACCGCCGGGAATCCGCAGAAGAAGCACCTTGCCGAGCCACTTGGCGACGAAGAGTGCGTCAGCATCGTCGGAGAGACCGCTTGCATCTCTGAAGGCAGCGTCTTCTTCGCTGCCGCGAGAGGGGATCTGGATGTCCGGGATGATCTTGAGGAGAAGATTGAACATGGATGCTTGGGTGGGGCCATGCTTCGACGAAGAAATGCCTTTGGCCACTTTGGGGAAAAGACGCCGTCTATCGTAGTCCTCCAGACGGAGGATGCTGTGCTGTATGAATGAGATATCCAGCACGCGGAGGATTGAAGATTCGGCCTCCTGGTACTGGTCGATGAGCTTCTCCACGGGGAGAATGATGCTGTCACCACTGTCAGTGCACTCGGAACAAGGACCTGCGGGACACCGCCATTGGGACCATCATACCTCGGGTGGACTATCAAGCCCTTCAATTTTCCAGCAAACTGAATGACCTGAAATGATGCGATGAGATTCCGGAACGTCAGAAGAAAAGGGGGTCTTCTCACCTCGTTACGAACGGACGCATAGTCACTCGTCGCCTTCAGCAGCAGGGCACAGAGGTACTTGGTGAGCAGCTCGTTCAGCTTGTCCTCCTTGTTCGCGGCCTGGAGGATGCGGATCTGGACGTTCCCTACGAGCCGCTTCTCCTTGGCCTCGGGGGATTCGCCCGACATCTTTAAGGAGCTGTGGCGACGTCGATGGTGCGTTGATAGATGGTTGTGATGTCGGGGAGGGAGATGCAGAGGTACATGTAAATGCACCTTACGTGTTACATCCGCACCAAGGTCGACGTTGCTCCCGGCTGCCTGAGCTGATTAAGCCGCGAGCCCCAGATGTTCCAGAAATGCCCACAGAAAAGCAGGGGGGCGTCCTGTGTCACGCTCACCCGCCACGCCACAGTGTGGCCAAGCTCCGAAACCGGTTTAGTGACAGCCGTCCGGGCTCGTTTGCGTTTCCCCGAAACAACCCGGCTTGTCGAGACCGGAAGGCGTTTGCCAAAGAGACGTGTCGACGGAATTCTGCTCAAGTGTCGGTGTTTTTGCTACCGTTGTTTCGAAACGGCCGAGTGGTGTGTCACAGTTTTGCTGAGTGGGAAGAGGGATAAGCAGAGGAAGAGGAAGAAACGATGGTTGAAGAGATGGAGAGAAAACGCTCTGGCTAGACTCAGAAAGGGGGAAAGGCCACAAACACTCCCAAGGCGGGTGCCAGCCATCTGGACCGCATCATCTCCAATTGAGGCGAGAGCCCTTGCAGTTATGAGGTGGTGCCCGCTTCATCTATCTTACTTGGGTTCTCCTGAGTCACGTCTTAGCAAATGCGTTCACAATATTGTCACTCTAGGCGAGTGTCATGGTCTCTTTTGTTGGCGCCCGCCTTTTACGTCTGCTGGCTGAAGACTCACGACACCACATCTAGGGATTTACTACATTAGGAGGGGAGTAACATTCAGGTGTTAGATTTCCAAACTCATGAAAGTCTTTGAGTAGGTGGGTGTAATCACACAAAGCTATCAGTCCCATTGCATTACGTGAAAGCTATCGGGAGTTGATAGACTGATGCCCGAAAGTCACATGGGAAAAGACTCAAAGAATACTTCGTAACTTCAGACTGGAATGATTAATGTATCTGACTTGCCCATAAGGCCTGCCCTCAAAGGAGTGGGTGAAGCATATATTTACCACAGTAGCCATCAAGGCACCCATACAGTTCAGACTTTCAACCATTTTTGAACATACGTGAAAACGGATGAAATTCATTGAGTCTTAACGGCGAGACCATTGTGCAGTCGATAACAGGGGCGCAAGTGTTATAATTAATACCATGACCTTGGCATATTAGTTAGAGACGTTGCAAAGTGCCAAAGATCAATACGTAGGTAGCAAGCCGTACCGTTCTCCATCGCCATGCCAGGGAGGGTTATCATTACTACGCAGACTTGAAAAAATGACGTATTAGGAACTTTTATATGGGGCAGAATATTTGATGTAATTGAGGTGAAGAGCTCGATTTGGGATGTTTCACCTGAGAGAGCTTGAAGCTCTATGCCGGTTGTTTGGGAGGCAATGTACCCATCATATCAAAAAGAAAATCCATGCAATATGCTCACTAGTTTACTTGATGGAATCGTGATGGAATCGTGATGGAATCGTGATGGAATCGTACTGGAATGCATCTGTACAATGACCTGGAGCGTCAACTCCCTAGCAGAACCTCGAGATCGGCCTAGGAAAAGCCAGGTGCAAAACACATGGTCCCATTCAGAAGCAGCCGGTGATCAGGATTGACCTCCTAACTACGAGTAACATTAGAGACATGATTTTTTTTATGAGAATGCAGCTCGCCTGTGCCTCAACAGACAGAGGACAACCAGAGTACATGTCAGCGAGACGGTTGAGGAGCCCAGAGCCTACTTCTTCCTCCAGGCAGTGATCAATCAAGCGGGCCGAATTAACTCCCGGATGCTGTGTTCACGGAACCAAAGGGTGAGTTCCTCTGCCACAGAACAGAACGCTCGATAGTATCTGCGCCCATACTACCACGAGATTGGGACAAGGATCTCGCTGCCGCGCCTGCGCGACAATAACAGTATAATTCAATAGTAGCTTTCATCACGCATTTTTTTTTTGTTTTTTTGATCCGCGTATCTTGGCGATGGCTTGATCTCAACGCATGTCAATACCGACGACGGCCCGGAATGCCGCTCTCTAGGAAATCCTAACATTTACTCAGTCTACGGCTGCGAGGTCCCGTGAGGTGGCCACGGTGTCTCCCGTTTGCACCGGTCCCAATCCCGAGCCACGGCTCTTCCATAGCAGAAAAAAGCTTTCTTGGCCCAAGGAAAAGCCCCTGAAGCTTGTGTGTCGTGGTCCGTGATCCTCCTTCGCACTATAAAGGACCAAGAGCCCCAACCCCTGATATTCAACAATTTCGATATAAGGCACACAAGCAAGTGTCTACCGGTCACGACTCACTCCGTTGCCCCGTCAAACCTTCTCTCGGAACGGAAGACCTCTCTCTCCCAGAGCCGAGCTCTCGGAATCTACATCGTCCAAGGTCACGCTGTCATGTGAATAGATATCGACATTTTCACGATGGGCTGGGAATGAAGAATCATACTTCAGCTCCTGCGTCTAACAGCTCAGCTTAGCTTTCTCGGTGACCTACTAGGTTAATAATGGAACGCGGTCCCTCTTGAGGTTGCACAGGTACACAATACCAACACACACAGTCATGAAAACACAGCAAAGTGCCATGCTCGGTGCTCAAAACAGTACAAGGTCTAAGAAGGAATAGCATGGTGATATCCAGATATTCTTGATGGGCTACTATAGCTGTAGAGTATCGCCCAGCAACATGTCCACCGCGCAGAACCATCCTGCATCCCGGCCATCCGTCCTACCCTCCCCTCTATCGCCATATGCCTACGTACATTCATACAAAACCACTCCGCAGTGAACTTCATCCTTTGAAGCCATGGAAACTTACCTCAGCCCAGTCTCGGAGACACTCTCGCTGGCCTCAGCCCGCCAGCCTCATCCAATCGCAAAGTTCCAACAGACACCCTTATAACATGCCGGCGTCCTCCATCCGACTCCCCTCACTGTTTCCCGGCCCTTCCAGTCCTCCCACCACACCTCTCTAGACGAAACCAACCCACCACCAGTCTTAAGGCCCTGCCAAACCTTGAACGAGCAAGTCTCGGACCCGCACGAGACGAAACTCAACAGGTTGGTCTTGCGGCACCCTCAGTTCGTCCGTCCCGCTGGCCGAACACCTCCGAGGAGTGCGGCGTTCTGGCATAGTTTTCGTTCACAACCCTTTTTGAGCCCTGCAGGTAGACGAAGGGGACCGCCGCCACCTGAAGAACTCGCGGTCTAGGGGTGGCGGAAGAAGGAGGAGCTGCCCGAACCTCCTTCAGCATGGCGATGCCGTTGACGAATACACCTCTTGGACCCGGCCGTCAAACCCGACCTTACCGAGTACAGTTCGCACCTTTTGCGTTGACAAACTCCATTCCGCCAAGAAAGAAATAAAGAAGAAATAGAAAATGCCCCGCCAGGAATGACACCCAAACAGAGAATCGATTAACCTCTGATCGGCATATGAATTGATGAACACACACACACACACACACACATACACACACACCAGGCCGGATATTAAATAGGCTCTCAACATACGACACAAGCTATCGCCTCAGGGAAATTCTTCCACTCGGCGAATGAACCGGGGCGCTACCCTCTTACACACATTACGGGCCGGGACCCCGAAGCGTGTGAGCCGCCTCAAGAAGACAGCAGCCTGCCCAACACGCCGATGCCATTCTTAACGTGCGGATATTTGCGCACCTACTGTCGGCCGACCGACCGGTCGAGTCACCAGCCTAGGCTGGCCCGGAAGGGAAAAGAGGAGAGATCCATCCCCGTCACCCAAGTCAGCTTCACATGACAAACTCTCGCTGCGTGCACCGATGCGAGCACCCTCCCCTTGAGGTACCGATCAAGAGTTTAACTTTATGCCTCTGCATGTTCAATATTCTTTTACCTGTACGACATCACAAGGGACTGCCTTTTTTATCAGTAACTTGATTTAATAGGAGGTTGACACAGTAGAGAGTCGCACCTGGCGAAACGTTGTGAATAGGAAGAAATTGAAAAAAGAGGAAAGGATGAAAACTAACCTGATCATACCAAGCAAGGTTCCTTCGTTAGCCTTCAACCATTTGTCCGTTACTATCAGGCTGCAACATCAAGCATAGACAAACATCAACTAGCTCATTTCACCGGGAATTCAATATGCTTCTTCAAAGTAAGGTTTGGGCCTAATCCTTTTTTCCTAGGACGTGCTTGATACGGGGACCCAATTGACTTTGAAGATAGATGCGATATCATTGCCTCAAGCAGTAGACCCGCGTCTCTTGCCATATCATTGAAAAGCTAGTGAGGTTATGCTGAGCCTCACTGACGCCCTCTAGTAGTGAAGGCTACGCCTGTTATATTGCACTTATGTAGGAGAACCAGATGCATCGCATAAGTGTACGACTACGTAATGGCTGGGTTCCGGATGGGATACAAATACGGAGACGGATCAATTCTGAGAGGTACGAGTCAAGCGCAAAGGTTGTTCCTTGCCATGCCTACGCCTGCCCTGGCATGGCAAGCATATAATCTACCTGCTGCTGACGGAACAGAGTGCGAACCGAGCATCAAGGTTGGCAACGCCCCAAAAACAGACCCCGCTTGCAGAGTAAGCAAAACGACTGCTGTCCTGCGTGACATGTGGAGGGGACACTCTCATTACCAGTCTGGCCAGGAGATACCGACGACATAATGTATTGGGCCGTGCAGCTGGATGCGAACAGATGCAAAACTGGGATGACTGTGGTTAATGAGCGCTTTGGAAGCACGAGATACACTAGATGGTTCGTTGCGTCGAGCAGCAGAAGGCCTGTGGACAGGGATGTCGTCGATCAACATCGCTCGTTATTCCCCGAGTGTGGCTGATTGAGAGCTCTGAAGGCAGCCCGGGGGGGTTGCGGGCATTACGACCCTTGCCATCAGATGACAGCTGTAGAAGCACTAGTTGGCTTGTAAGAAAGTGGCCTGAGGTGAGCTGAATGCGACTGCTCTACGGCCCAAGCTGCCGTTCAACCCCCTCGAGCCTCTCAGATATGTGGGCAGCATGCGCTAGGTACGTCCAAATCAAGGAAGTCGTGCATTTTGCAAGTACTGTGGGATTGCAAAAGGCCCTCAATGATTCGTCGCGACGATATGCGGTTGAGACATGCTAAACCTTGCTAGCCACCTTGGGCTGCTGAGAATGCGGGTCACGGCTCAGAGACCACCGGACCAGCAAACCGTCCTGCACTGGGGCTAGCATCGAGGCTAATGTAGCTCGTGGACATGATGTACATGGACGGACATTCCTTTCGTGGCCCATAAGTCCCGGATGCGTGTACTGCGTCGTAGCAATGCATGCCGAGTCGACGGAGACGAATGCCAGCGGGCCCCTTTTGAAAAACTATCGTATAGCTCGTCAACGGGAAGTTTGGCCGAGCAAATCTGTACGCGTGACAGCTAGTTGGGCACTGCAGGGGATCGTTTGCTAAGACGAGGAAAGTCGGCAAAGCGCACGAAGCGGAGATTGCCGCCTGGAACTGTATTATGCTTCGACCTTGACCATGCAGAGAAGCATCGTATGGAGGACTATCATCAACTATAATCTGCAGGGATCAGGAAATGCCCAAATCAGCATGACGACCCAAGCAAGAGAGGGAAGAAAGTCTTGAAAGGGATTTCAGAATTGGGACTCACAGTGTTTACCGTTGGCATTAAGATGCCAATTTGGTTCCTACACTACTACGCAGAAGCCGGCCTTGCTTGGATACGGCCAGACCGCATGGGCGGGCAACCTCTCCGGCCAGTCAGAAGGGATAGAAAGAGAATCAGAGATCTCATTCTTCCCACACCTCGATCCACGGTAGCAGTGGAGGTCCCCTTTCTGCGGCCACACCCTACCACCCCAGTCCGATGATTTCACTTTTTTTTTTCTTTAAAAAAAAACAAAAACA